GGATTCACGATGCACTATGGCTGTAGGAGGAGGAGGAGGAGGAGGAGGAGGAGGAGGAGGAGGAGGGGGAGGAGGAGGAGGATAATGAGGAGGAGGAGGAGAAGGAAGAGGAGGAAGAGGAGGAGGAGGAGGAGGAGGAGGATCATGAGGAGGAGGAGAAGGAGAAAGAGGAGGAGGAGGAGGAAGAGGAGGAGGAAGAGGAGGAGGAAGAGGAGGAGGAGGAGGTCAGGGGCGCTCGTGGGCCGGAAACAGAAAGTGGGAGCCGCCGAGGAACTGCGGGGAGGCGTGACAGGAGCCCCAGGGCATTCGACAAGTTGGGGCCCAGGCCCCGTCAGATTCAATCCTGAGGGCTGAGATCACAAAGGACTTGAGGGCACTCTGGCTCGTGCCTGGCGGCAGGGTGGCAGACCTTTCCCTGACGGCTTGCAGCGCTTCACCAACTGCGCTCCCGAGGCGGCGAAGAGTCGCCCACGTCCCATAATTATCCTCCAGCGTCGCAAAATGACCATAAAGTCAGCCCGCATAGAAGGATGAACGACTTCCCAAGGCTACCCTTGCATCCCCCCCTTCGGCCCATCCTTGGCCGTTTCCGCTGGCCGCGTCCCGCTCGCAGAGTGTCGACCTGGCCCTCCAAGACCCTCGCATCCCCATCGTGCGTCCACACTATACGGGTGGACCGTACAGGTCTCCCCATTCCGCAATAAAGTGGGGGAGGTCTGATTTTTGGGGGTATGATTTGAGCTGTCTTGGAGTGTTCCGGGTGGTCTGGGCAAAAGCCGCCCTTTCATGGCTGGCCTGGGGGGGGGGGTCTACAAGTGCTCGTCTGGGATGGTTGTGACTCCCTCCCTTCATGGCGAAACTTGGAGGACCCTCCAGCTCGCGAAAAGACCACACGAGGCGTCTTCCATCGCTCTTTCGACCTCTGCGTGGGGGGGGCCGCTCCTGGGCTTCTCTTGGGGACCGTCCAGGCGCGAGGCGCGACGAGACACAGCCCCTGGCGTGGTGTCGAGGGCTCTCGGATCTCTCGCAGGAGGAAGCGGTACCCATACCGCTACCCTTTCCTGGTTTTCGCCTTTCTGGGGTCTCCTGGGAGGCCCTCGTCGCCACCGCTGGATTCGCTTCGAAATTCTGGTCAGAAAGCACCCCGGGAGAGGTCCGGGGGGTAGCGGCATAGGTACTTTGTGGTACGTCCCACGCGGATCACCTCGAGACCCCTCGGTACCCTGGGGGCTGCGATCTGCGCAACTGTTGCCACTTTCGTGGGCTCCTGGGATGTCCAGCGGAGGTACGTCCCTGCGGATCACCTCGAGACCTCGCGGTGCCCTGGGGGCTGCGATCTGCGCAATTGTCGCCACTTTCGTGGGCTCCTGGGATGCCCAGCGGAGGTACGTCCCACGCGGACCACCTCGAGACCTCGCGGTGCCCTGGGGGCTGCGATCTGCGCAATTGTCTCCACTTTCGTGGGCTCCTGGGAGGCCCAGCAGAGGTACGTCTTACGCGTTGCCGCTGCTCTTCTTGCTGCGCTCTTCTGATTTCACTGCTGGGTGCTCTTCTTACGCATTGCGGGTTTTACAGCATGCCCGTCAGCATTGAGTGGCCCTGAGTGTTACCACCACATGTAGAGAAGGGTTTAAGTATAATTACCTAACAGCGAAGACTGATAGGTTTCTAGTGGGGTCAAAAGAGAGCATCATGACTCCTCAGGGGGGGTCGGGGCGGGACCCGGGGCGGCTGCCGCCGAAGCCGAAATCGCTTGGGACATCCTCGCAAAATCGCTCTTGGCGCTCCCAGAACTCCATTCCCGGGCCACATTTTGAATGCCCGGAGCCAACTGTAGGCCACTTCGTACTCTTCGACTTCTCAGAACTCCATTCCCGGGCCACATTTTGGATGCCCGGAGCCAACTGTAGGCCACTTCGTGGTCTTCGAGTTCCCAGAACTCCATTCCCGGGCCACATTTTGGATGCCCGGAGCCAACTGTAGGCCACTTCGTGGTCTTCGAGTTCCCAGAACTCCATTCCTGGGCATGATTTTTGCCCGGAGCCACCTGAGGCCACTTTCGAGTTCCCAGAACTCCATTCCCGGCTTTTGAATGCTGAGGCTGATGCTGAGGCTGAGGCAGGCTGAGGCTGAGGCAGGCTGAGGCTGAGGCCCTGAGGCTGAGGCTGCAGGCTGAGGCTGAGGCTGAGGCAGGCTGAGGCTGAGGCAGGCTGATGCTGAGGCAGGCTGAGGCTGAGGCTGAGGCTGATGCAGGCTGAGGCTGAGGCTGAGGCTGAGGCTGAGGCAGGGCTGAGGCTGAAGCAGGCTGAGGCTGAGGCTGAGGCAGGCTGAGGCTGAGGCTGAGGCTGAGGCAGGCTGAGGCTGACTGCGACTGCCGTTGCCACTGCGACTGTCATCGCGAATGCGACTACGACTGCGAGAACAGCAGAATTCTACAACTGGATTCTCATCTGAATCTTAAGGGGAATGCTTCCAGATATGCTCCTACACATCGCTGTTAGGTTGCTTTGCCGGGATAATCCGTAAGGGCTTCGCCCCCTGCCGCCGGCCCCCCCTCTCTCGGAGAATGGGCCATGGAAGAGCTAAGTCATGAGGCTTTGGCGCTGTCGTTCAGCAGTATCGGAACTTCATGCGAGGCCGATTCGCAATCGGCAAAACCAACTGATCACAAGAGGGGTTACCACACAGGGCGATTGGTAAGACGTGTATGGTTTACGAGCTTGGTTACCACACCTTGGGATTAAAGGGCCGAGGGAGTACTCGCAGTTTGGGTTACCACGCCTTGCGATGGATGTGCGTGAGGGGTGGCACCGAATTTCAGAAATGTGGCAAATCCCATGTGTTTTTGGACCCTGACCCCGCGGATCTGCGTGAGGGGTGGCACCGAATTTCAGAAATGTGGCAAATCCCATGTGTTTTTGGACCCTGACCCCGCGGATCTGCGTGAGGGGTGGCACCGAATTTCAGAAATGTGGCAAATCCCATGTGTTTTTGGACCCTGACCCCGCGGATCTGCGTGAGGGGTGGCACCGAATTTCAGAAATGTGGCAAATCCCATGTGTTTTTGGACCCTGACCCCGCGGATCTGCGTGAGGGGTGGCACCGAATTTCAGAAATGTGGCAAATCCCTTGTGTTTTTGGACCCTGACCCCGCGGATCTGCGTGAGGGGTGGCACCGAATTTCAGAAATGTGGCAAATCCCCTGTGTTTTTGGACCCTGACCCCGCGGATCTGCGTGAGGGGTGGCACCGAATTTCAGAAATGTGGCAAATCCCATGTGTTTTTGGACCCTGACCCCGCGGATCTGCGTGAGGGGTGGCACCGAATTTCAGAAATGTGGCAAATCCCCTGTGTTTTTGGACCCTGACCCCGCGGATCTGCGTGAGGGGTGGCACCGAATTTCAGAAATGTGGCAAATCCCATGTGTTTTTGGACCCTGACCCCGCGGATCTGCGTGAGGGGTGGCACCGAATTTCAGAAATGTGGCAAATCCCTGTGTTTTTGGACCCTGACCCCGCGGATCTGCGTGAGGGGTGGCACCGAATTTCAGAAATGTGGCAAATCCCTGTGTTTTTGGACCCTGACCCCGCGGATCTGCGTGAGGGGTGGCACCGAATTTCAGAAATGTGGCAAATCCCCTGTGTTTTTGGACCCTGACCCCGCGGATCTGCGTGAGGGGTGTCGATTTCGAGCCCCCCCAGCAATTCAGACAACGCACCCAGGGGGTGCTAAAAGTCCCGTTTGGGCCTCCCCCCCCTCGCGCGGTCAGTCAATTAGTTACAGTAACCAGCAAGAAGCAGAACTGTAACACTGGAAACTACAAGCTACAACTGGTACTGGAAACTGCGAACCCGCGCCTACAGCCTGGTGGCCCCACAAGGGGGCCGGCGGATTTTTTATACATCTGCTGGCAACGTTCCCGTACCAGTGCATGTGCGCGCCGCCAGATGTTCTTTGTTTCTGCCGCTTCCGTGCCAAATGGCGCGCATCGCCAGAAACATTTGCTTCCCTGGGCTCCGTCGTGCGGCCTTTCATTGTCTCGCCAGCCTTGCTACAAGCTGCGGATCGCAGTCTGCTCGGTGCCCCAGGACACCCACGGCAGCAGCTTCCCCTTCTCTTTCCTTCCCTTTTCTCCCACTCCATCGTTTCCCACCTCGCCCGTCTCCCCTCCCCTCCCGTCCCCTCCCATTAACTCTCCTCCCTCCTCCCCTCCCCGCCTCCATCCATCCCTCCATCCCTTCCTCAACCCTTCTGTCCTTCCCTTCGCCATCGTACCCCCTTTTCGCTCCCTTTCTTTCCGCGGGTACTTGCCCGCTGCAGGGACTCAGAGACCGACCCGCCGCCGCGTCACTGGCAAAAAATAACGCCTGCAGGTGTCCCAAGAAGGCTCGAAGACGGCCCCGCAAAACCCAGCGCGGCCCCTAGAGGCTACAGGACAGTCCCAAGGGGACCCTCCCCCCCTGAACTCGAAGTTGGCACGCACGGGGGAGGCTGCGGTCGACGTGCAGCTCCTCAGACCCACCGCCAACGCTGCACATTGGGAGGAGGGGCAGGCGTTGGCCGATGCGGCATGAGTGTTCGCTGTTTTTGTTTCCCGAGGCCTGCATCGCACGTGGCTGCTCTGAGCTGGCCCCCCTCCCCCACAGGGGGTCCACTCTCCACTCCTCGATTGGCCGAGCGGCGCTCCTCGCCTCCTGGCGACCCGTCTTCCGAGCCCGCGGGTCGTCGAGGCAGCGCGGAGCCGGCAGGGCGCGTCGCCGGCAGGGCTGGCGACGTCGCGCCCTCTCCGCCCCCCCAGGGCAGCTCGCTGCCTCGTCGTGGTCGTCGTCGCCGCCCGCCCCTCTTCAGAACGTGAAGAGGCCCAGAGATCCGACGCTACAGCAAAAACTGGAGCGGCGGGATTTTCACAGTTTTCGGCCTCTCCAGGTGCCCTCGCCGGGCCTCGAGAGCGTCAGAAAGCGACGCAGGACGAAAGACCGGCCCTGGGGAAGTGGTGTGGACCTCCGGGGAACACGCACCGAAAAAATTGGAGCAGTCGGATAATACCGCTGGGCGTCCCTCGTCGCCACGGCTGGATCCGCCTCGAGAGCCTGGTCATAGCGCGCCCCTGGGGAGGGCCGGGGAGCAGCGGTATCCGTGCCCCGGTCCGTCCCACCATCGTGCGGCGGGCACCCCGGAGGACTCCAGCTGCTGGCTGGAGGAGGTCTGGCGCGCCAACGCCGTCGTGGACCCGCAGGCTGGCGGCGCGAGTCTCCTCCGAGTTCTGTCATCCTCTCATTCTGTTTGGTCCTTCCGTAGCTATTTCTGCTCCTCCGGGCACCCTCCCTTCCACAGCCTTTAAGTCGGGCATGTCCCTCTACAGGAGGAATCTGCAAGAATGGTGGAAAAATAGTATGGTGACGTTTTTGTCGCGCTCTTTTGACTAGTTTTGATTATTCGTTCTTCCAAAATCCGCCTGTAGGAGATGCCCAACCTATCACTACCTCCCCCCCCTTCTGGTCTTATTTCTTGTTTTTTCTTGTGCACGTGTCGCACCAAACGTGCATTCTTCCCCTTCCAGGGTCGCCAACAGATTCCGAAGACCGCGGTGTTGCCCGCGCCCGGCGGTTCTTAGCTGTCGGGCGGGCGCTTATGGGGGGCGGCCTGAGTGGGGGGTGAAGAAAAGAAAATGACCCTAAGTCGAATAATATTAAATGCCATCATCAAAAACTTTTGGCGCTCCGCGCGGATTTCTTGGATCCGCACTGGGCCCCCCAGGCGGCGCCTCCGGCGCCGCCCCTGGCGCGCTCCGCGCGCCCGGGAGGGCGGTCCAGCGCAGTGTCCCCTGGCGGCCCAAGAGTTTATGTTTGTGTAGTTTTTCCTTTTTCTACTAAAGGGCCCCTTTAGGGCCCTGCTCTCCACTCCCATGTAGGTCACCCCTCGTTGCCTCCCGCCCGAAGCTAGGCCTGCACGCTTCGCTTCGTCCGTCTTCGTCTTGCTATTCGCCTTCTGGCTCCCATCGTCTTGGCAGGGTGAACGCTCGTGCGCTTCCAGAAGTACCGCCCGCTCCTTCCTCCTCCTCCTCCTGCTCCATTCTTTTTCCTTATGAGCAATTTCTCTCTGTCGCACCCCGAAGGCAGTTTTTAGGGCGGGCCAGGCGTTTCGCCTGAGACGTCCTCACCATTTGTGACCCTGAAGCTTAAACATTGGCAACAGCTTCACAGATGGAGGGCGGGCTGTTTTCAAAATGTGGCTCTCGCCTTCGCGCGGCACACATTCGTTTTAAACATTTGCAAGAGTTTCACGGATTGAGGGCGGGCCGTTTTCAAAATGTGGCTCTCGCTTTAGCGCAGCGCACATTCGTTGAACAAATTGCAAGAGTTTCACGGATTGAGGGCGGGCCCTTTTCAAAATGTGGCTCTCGCCCTAGCGCAGCGCACATTCGTTGAACAAATTGCAGGAGTTTCACGGGTTGAGGGCGGTTCCTTTTCAAAATGTGGCTCTCGCCCTAGCGCCGCGCACATTGGTTTACATCATTTGCTAGAGTTTCACGGGTTCCCATCATCAACGTGCCAGAAATGGTGCGTTGAAAGGATTCAGGATTATGCGGGTACAACAGTTATTTCGCTGCGTTGAAGTCGCAGGAATGGCGTTCTGGCACGATTCAGGATTGTAAAGACGCAACAATCGGGTTGATCGGTGGCGTTGGAATACCGAGAACAATGTTTTGGCATGCTTCAGGGTCTTCAAACGATTGTCTTCCAAAGAGGCAGTCCCTCAATGGAAATGGACCGTTGTGGGGGCCTATGAAGAGGGAGCTTGGAGGGAGGGTTTATTCAAACATCGTTGATGACTCTTGGGTTTACACTGGTCCTCCTCCTCTTCCCCCTCCTCCTTCTGCCCCTCCTCCTCCTCCTCATCCTCCTCCTCCTCTTCCTCCTCCTCCTCCTTCTCCTCCTCCTCCTCCCCCTCCTTCTCCTCCTCCTCCTCCTCCTCCTCCTCCCCCTCCTCCTCCTCCTCCTCCCTCCTGCCAGTACTGATAACAACTTCCAGCGGTGAGGAAGGTGCATTCGCAAGTTGCTGGCCACCTCGCTTCGAGAGCGCATTCTCATGATCATCATGATCACCATGGTGATAATGATGATGATCATCATCGTCATCAGCATCATCAACATCATCATCAACATCATCATCAACATCATCATCATCAGCAGCATCATCATCATTCCCCGCTTAGCTGGGACGGGTCTGGAGAGGCTGCCTCGTCGCAGTGGAGATTGCATTGGCCGCCTTGCCCCTGGACCGACGACCTTGGGAACTTTGGCTTAGCGTGTGGCGCCGCCGGTTCTGGACCACGACGCTTCGACGCGACACGCTATCCATGTCCTGGTCCCCAGGCGTCAACGTCCCGAGCCTTTTCCAGCCTCCCGCCCCGCGGAGCGGAGCGACACGCTAATCGCTCGCAGGGCACAGCGACCAGGGCCGCCGCCGCGACACGCTAAGCAACAGTTCCTGACAGCACGCCCGATCCCGATCCGACTCCTCTCCCTCGCTTTGTGGGTGGATCTCTCAAGCTCTCCGCCGCCTCTGGCGGTGTGCATTGCGAGCAGGAACACGGCAAAGCCACAGGAAAGCACCGCATTGACAGTGTAGCTTCGCACACGTGACAATTGCTAACGAGCAAGAACACAGCAAAGCCCCAGGAGAGCGAGGCATTGTCTCGCCGGGCAACCCGCAGGGGCGCCAGCGCAAAGTGCTCCCCGCGGTCGGGGCCGCCTCCTGCCTCGGCCGGCGCCGAGCGAGATGCAGCGAGGCCCGTGCAGGCGAAAGCCACCGAGCGAAGGGCCACCTCGGACTCGGGAATCAGGTCGAACGAAAGGGGCTTTGGATGCCGGGCCGTTCCTAACAGCTGGGTCAGAGAACGAACTTGCTCGTGGCCGAGGCTCGCCGTGGCCAGAAAAGGCCCCCGTCGTTCCTTACTCTGCGTTCGACGGTGGTAATGAGCACGATGGCCGAATGTTGCGCCGCCGGCCGCGAGGCGCAGGTCCAGCGCAGGGCCCAGGAGGACTTGGCCGAACGAATGGGGGGATAAACGGGGGGTTACGAAATCTGCTGCATGCAGCTGGTTTCGGCCCCGCCGCCGGGCCCGTTCCTCGATACATGGCGTCGGGAGGCGCTTGGAAATTCAGCCACGTGAGCTGATTCTCAACCCTGCCCTCTGCTATCCCCCCCCTTTCGTTCCCCCTGGAGGAGGGGCTCCCAGGTCCCCGGTCGTTCCTCAGGCTTGGGTCGGAGAGTTTTCTCGTGGCCGAGGCTCGCCGTGGCCAGAAAAGCCCCGTCGTGCCTGACCTGCAAGTGGCGCTCCTCATGGCAGCACGACGGCTGGGGTGTGGCGCGACGGCTGATGGACAAAATCCTGCACCTTTTTTGCAGATTTCTGTTTTCGCCCCCCCCGCGCCCCCAATTCAATATTGGCAGGCTGTGGCGCGATTTGTCGATCTGCCGACTGGCCTAAATCCTACACCCCGCGGGCGCAGCTAATCATCATTGAATCGGGGACAGGGGGGCGCGTGGAAGATTGCGCCGTCGCCCCGGTTGCGCGGCTGGTGCAGGATTTTGTCCATCGACCGGAGTGCGCGAACGTATGATCAAAGCTCCGCGCTCACCGCGCGGAACGCGGATCCCGAAGCCAGGAGGTCCCGGGGGTTCGTCCCGCGGTCGGGGTCGCAGAGCTGCCCTACTTTCTAAGCGGGGGGGGGGGGGGGCGGCGCAGATAAATCGAGCCCAGTATCGGGATAAATCGCTCCCAGAACGTCCCCTGAGCGTCCCAGAACGCTCTCAGAGCGTTCTGAACCTCTGTGAGAAGGCCGTGCCTCCCGATGCATCCCCCAGAACTGCCGCATCTTAGAGATTTCCAATCGATCCCGATCCGACTTGCCCCATCATGCCTTCGCTTCAGCTGCAGAGCAGTGCGCAGGTAGCGGCGCTTCGCGCCAGCGCGGAGCGCGGAACGCGAAATCAGAATGTCCACCGGGCTCGTTTGTCGACGTGCCGCCAGAAGGCGCGTGTTGGCTCGCCTCGGCAAGCCTTTTGCGCCTCGGCCCCGAGCCAGCGGCGGTCGCAGCTCCGGGCTCCCGCCAGGCTGGCGGTAAAGCGT